AATAGAACCAAGTACATTTTTGGAAGATGCTAAATTCAGACATAAAAATGCGGAATATTAGCAAGAGCGAATCGCTTTGCGCTCTTCAGAAAGTTGCGGTGGAACTCGACTTTGTCTTAACCAGGCAATCCAAGAATCTTTTCAGTACCTCTTTGTGATCTACAAGTGTCATACAGCAACAATATTTCTCAAGAATATGCTGATTTACAAAAACTGAGAGAACTTTCCGAATCTACTGACATTTCGGATGTTAAATACCAAAACGAGCAGAGATCTGTTACAGGACAATTTGTTGCAATGTAGGCTTTAATAGATGTGAAAGAAATTATTTATAGAAAATCGCTGTCGATTTTCCAATTTTTTAGAAATTCCTTATCGATTTTCTGGCAAATGAGAAAAGTTAATTTATAGGAAATCCGCTCGATTTTCTATAAAGTAGAAAATCAACATTTTCTAAATAGTCAGAGAATCGTTGAAGATTTTATAAAAGTTAGAAAATCCTTGGCGATTTTCCAGATCGATTTTTCTATAAAGTAGAAAATAATTCCAAATTACAGTATAGAAATAATCCGATGGTAAATATCGAAGTGGATTTGACAACGAAAAAGAAGCAAACGGTTCATTGTTGATCATACGAAGTCTTACTTGTCGTTACACATGATGACAAAAAGTCCACTATTTGCAATAATGAATTAAGAGATCGCTTACCGATTTTTGATTTCGATGCTGTTGTTGTGCTCGCTGCTGTTGTGCCCGCTGCTGTTGTGCCCGCTGCTGTTGTGCTCGCTGCTGTTGTACTCGCTGTTGTTGTACTCACTGTTGTGGTACTCGATGGCTCCGGTGCCACTGCTGAATGCAAATATTCACGAAAATGTAGAGGATTTTTCCGATAACATTTTGCACCATATGGACATTGGGGTAATGACGATGTATCAGTTTTTTTTTTTTTTTCAGGAGATGCTCCTTTATCAGACATCAGTACACTTGATTATTTTTCTGTAAATCTAAAATTTTCAAAGCTATGTAATGATCTAACGCCCAAAAAAAAGTGCTTCCTTTCGTGATTCTTCGTCAATTTTTTGGGGCAATTTTATCGTGCTTAAATACATTGCAAAAGAATTGTAATAAATAATTATCCATTCAAAATAAAATTGAGTTTGTAACGTTCTAAATGCACTTGGACTACACTTAGACTACATTATTGATTTAAACTTCTGCATTTATTTACACTATGTAGTCTAAGTGGAGTCTAAGCGTATTTCGAACATTACAAGCTCAATTTTATTTTAAATGGATAATTATTGATTATAATTCTTTTGTAATGTATTTAAGGTAAGATAAAACTGCTCCAAAAAATCGACGGAATCCGTAGTAACAGCATCCCTTGGCCGTCAGATCATAAGGAATTCAAACGGTTCGCATCGATAAGCATGTGATTAGATGAAAAAGATGTGCTTATTTTGTGCACTATTTTGTTCTATAGAGGTACAAGCTCAATAGATGAAATAGTTTTAGAATTTGAACAGAACAAAATACAACTTTAATTACCTTGTTACCTGCTACAACTAACTTGAACGAATCAATGCACGAAATAAGCACACTGCTTCCATCTAGTCAAATACCAGATTGCTAAACTATTCTGCTGTATAGGTAACGTAGTACTGTATGCATTAGGTATTGTAAAGAGAAGTTAGAAAAACATAAATAAACTTCAGGTGAACGCCTACCTTTGATATTAACTACCAGTAGCATTCATCCTTTTGCACGTTTGAGGTGCAGTATCCTTCACAAAAAGTAGTTGCTACTTCTTTTGCTATAGCAAATTTATTTTTACTAATACCACAATTATGATCCAGAAAACTTAAGATGGTACAAGTGATCAGAGATGTGAACGCTATTTTCGACAAAAAGCTCACTAATAAAAGTCTGTAGAAAAATAAAAGAATTTCACTGTTATGTTATTTGAATACTTTTTAACATAAATTCGACGCCAACACAATTGCAAATACCATACAGTATTGAAACGTATGAAATTGCACAACACGGTTCGCACATAGATGACTCATCATTCTTTCTAGTGGTCCACTGTATTCTTGTGACATCGAATAAGATACTCGAATATATACCTCTGTCAATATTGCGCACGGTAAGGACATCATTCTTTAAAATAATAACTACTATGGTCATACTTTTAAGAGTTTTTATTATGTTTTCAAGTCCATCGAACTGCTGTGATACGCTAAAATTCATGATTCGTTGAAACTAATCATCATTACTTAGAATATTTCAATTGAGTTTTATATTGATTATTTAAATTTTTTTAATTTTTCGACGTTTCGAACAATACTGCCTTTATTTTCAAGAAAAGGAGAAAGTATATGTGTACAGTAAACCTTGAAACGAAAATATAGCTCTTTACAAGCGTATAAACTAAAGATCTAGCAGTAACAAAGAGACAAGAGAGTGAAAATATAGTTGACATATACCAAAGCAGAAAATAAAAATAATAAAATATAGGAAGAAAGAAAAGATACAGCTTTTCTATTTTCTATTTTATGAAACATTGTTAGATGGCTTATAATCAATAAAATTTAAAATATGAAATCTAAATTAGCTGCTGTTATCATAGTCTATTGTTTCAAAAATATCTACACATACACAATCTTACTACCACAATTTATTCTAATATACCCAGAGCATCGTAAATGAGTGAGTGTCTAATCATTATATCATAATACAATCTATATTTCATTTAATAGAATTGTCAACGCTGCACAAAGCTCACCATTAACAATTTGTCTGTGTAACCAAATAATTATTTCGCATTAATTCTGGAAAAATAATACCGAAAATAACAACACCTGAGAATTGATTCAGGCATAATTGAAAACGTAGATCAGAATACATTGAATCTTTTTAGTAGCTAAATGTTTTCAAATACACATACAGGTTAATAATTGAATTCAGATATTATCATTAATCTCTAATTTTTCATCATGCTATATACAATTTTATTGAAAAACAAATCTTTATGAAATTATAAATCACTTTTTCAAAATTATCATTCCAAATTATATGTAAGATTTCATAATAAGATTTCATTGAAGTTCTTATATGATTCTATGACAAGATTTTATAAGAAAACATCAGATCTTGTAAGTAAGCCAGTTGTCTATTTTACGATTGGTTGAAATAACATTAGAAAAAAATGTGTCTGATCTTGGCAAACTTAACGCGTTTAAATGAAGACAGTAATCCTAAAATTTATAACGAAGAGGTATCTGATAAGCAGAATCTTAAACGTAATTTATTTTAAAATGAGTTATATACTAATCAATATACCTGATTTATCATGTTTTTTTCTAATCAGCTGAGAAACATGTTGATGTTATTATGCAAATGTGACGATAGAGCTTGGTAAACTGTATAATTGCATACTTTTAGAGAATCTACTTCAATAGTGTTCGCTGATGAGATGTAATTCAGAGGATTGCATGACTGTCAAAAATGCTATAATCTTAGTTCGTATCATTCACAGAGTATGAAATAGTTAATAATGCTGTTAGTAAATTTAGAGAACGTCGGTCTCATTTTCCATTCGAAGTATTAAGCATTATAAGTGCATGAATCAATACGACAGAATTACCTTCACGCTATTTATCAATAATACTCTCTACCAAGATATTTAATTAATTTTCGAGAAAGTGTACAAAAACCTATAGTGATCGACGTGGTTGTCAAAACAGGCAGACGTTTGCAGACAAATAGTTCGCCTTAGAACTTGATGAATTTTATTATGTGAAACAACCGGATGTAAATATTAATCGTATGATAAAATCTTCTATCGAAAAACATGATCAAGATATACGACATAAATTTCTTCAAGACATATAGCGATAGGAATTGTATGTAAAAGAATCTCTAGCACTTCGATCGATATGTCCGGTATTAAATAGAACAGATAGATCAGTACCAGAGATATAACCGGTACCGGCACCGGCCGGTCCGGCTCGATCCGATCAGAAATGTTTGATCCATCAGTCTGCCAGCCGACCGAAAGAAAATTACTTTGACCGGCTGGTCGAGAAAAAAAACGTTTTTTTCGTCTTAAAAATCAGTACTTTGTCGAAAACGAATTTGCAGAGCTAAGTAAAACAAAGGTTTTCATATTTTAGATTAAGCAAGTTAGTTTGGTTTTCTCTTTTTTGTCAACAGTCTTTGAGAGCAGGACTGGTGATCTCTACTATGTGAATCTTTCGTTCGTTTTTCTTTGATTTTTAATGTTTGTTGCGCTACTATCAGCACTAAAATCAGAGCTTGGCAGCTCTGGCTCCGGAGGAATAAAAGATAGAGACTTGTGGTTTTCATCATTTACTAGCCAAGACTTAAGGCTATGTTTTCATCAGAAAACAAATTTGTTTTATAGCTTTATTCTGTCAGAATACAAGCGGAAGAATATTCCATTATAGTATCTAAACTAAAACTATCGAAAAACACAAAATCAATTTTTGTACGAATAGAAATTCGAACATGTGAACTTAGCTTTGCAGCAAACTACAAACTAAATTCACCGTTCTGTATCTATATTCTGTACAACGATTGAAGTTGTGCAATCAACTCGATGTTATCAGTAGTAATATATTTTTTTTCTTATGTTTTTTGTGTTCTGTCTCTTTTAATGTGTTCTGTTTGTTTTGAAAACAAATTTAGAAAAATTTCAAAGATTGGTTCTTCAGGAGATCCGGGGAAAAGCAGTTCGGTTCTCTGAAAGCGGACATAGAAATCTATGGATTTGTTTTCATACATATATAGTCCGAAGTGTTCTCTACAAAACTGGATCTAAGAAATACCTTGGAAATCCATGGCTTGGAAGCTGTTACATTGATTACTCGGAGCCTGCACCAAGTTTTTCAGTCAAATCTTAAACATTACTCAAAGATGGCATCGATTATTTAAACCAGAACGGTTATGCAATTCTTCAGCGACATTTTGACGACTGACGAAATCGGTAAAGACAAAACTTTTTCCGGGAATGGTTAGAACAGTTACCTCAGACTCGCATCACCAAAGACAAACCTGAAACTAGGAATCTCAATTGGTGAGCACAAAACGTGGGTAATATATTTGCTTTTCTCACTTCAGATTCTTTTTTGATCAGAGTTTATAGAGAATGTACGTAATAATCGTATTATCAAAAAAGGTTATTGGCAAACAAACGAATTATTGGTCTCCTTCGATGGGTCTGGTTGCTTTCGTGATTATAGTCGTACAATAAACCATGGAAAAAATTGGGAGGATAGAGTCATGTTGATCTACATCCTGCTAAAAGGCCGAACCGTTGTTGTATACAAGGTGTGATAGCAATAACGGATAATGATGAGTACAGTGGTGGTCTAGTTGTCTATCCAAAATTTCACCTTCGCTTTTCTGAATTGACCAGTCTAGTAACTCCAAATGATTCTAGCGGTGATTTTCTTGTAATTTCGAATAAACATCAAATACTGAGATGATCTAATTAGTTATAAATGAGCGTAATGTAAAGCGGGTGATCTTATTGCATGAGATAGTCGCTTCATTCATTGCGATACGGTAGCATTCAAATCCAACAAGTCAACGGAATATGTGTATATTGTGCATTTTACTGAAGAAATATCGACGATGACGGTGTCGCGGGAATTGCATGAAAATGAACATGTCTTCAACGGCGAATTTTGTGCTGCTAAATAACAAGTGTTGAATGTTTTTATATTGAATTTTTCAGAAACTTAACCAGAAGCGAAAATGGAAAGATGACTGACTATATGCGAGAAAGTCAACCTGCAGAAAAATTTTACTCAACGCTACCTCTAGTCTTCCAATACAAAACTTTACAAACTTTTTCATATCCTTCTTACCCTGAACTTTTTCCTTGTTACTATGTCTCCAATGATTTGTGCCTAATTAGCACATACACATGTAGATGTATTTTTTGCTAGA